TCTATTGGCTTAGTGGCTATCTCTCAAATTCCTCAAATATTTCTTCTACTACATGTAAACTTTTTTTTACAACTTATGACGTTGACACATTTCAGATACAACCTTGAAATAATATTACATACCGGTACTTGAAATCGGGGGTTTGATGGCTGAATGGTTGGGGTGTGCGTGCTGTATCATAAAGCCTGTCATTGAGTCAACTGGCGTGGTTTCGAATCCACGGTTGTATGTGACAAGGAGTAGGGTCGCCTGTCCAACCTCGTGGGTTTTCTCCGGGTCCTCTGGTTTCATCCCACAACTAAAGACCCCCACGCGCAAGCAAATTATTGAAATAAAATTAAACCATATGTTAGTCCCGAAATGACCTAGTTTGTGTCGAGTGGACGTTAAATCCCATTTCTCTCTCTCTCTGTACTTGAAATAATATTTAAATCATCAATAGAAATCCCTGTTGATTACCATTTTGGGATTGTGAAAACCTTGTAATAAATCTAGTATTGTGATAGTTGAATGTCTGGTTCAATTCTGTACGATATTTATCAACATACACACCTGTATGATGAATTCAAAATTTTACAATAGTCAGCATTCACTGAAGACAATATAATTCAACCGTCCAGTCGTTGCTGTTTGTATTTTAGATGAGAGCAGAAAAAAGCTACCCTTAATGAACAAATTTCTCGAGTTTCGCAACAGTTCTACTTTACACTTCAGTTAAATTAACAAATGATGCATATAGGCGCCGTTTATATTTAGCAGCATATTCATCGGAATTTTATATGTCCATGATTTACACATAAGGAGACTAGAGCGATTTTCAATTTTAAGGCAACGGAGAAAAATCTCTCTTTGGTTGACATTCAGGTGCGCGGCTTACACTAGCGAGCGATCGCGCGCCTAAATAAGCAATGACTGACCATCCCCACCTACTTGTATAAGAGTTGCATTAAATCTTTTTATGGGCCTCTCTTTAATGCGATTAAATCAAAAAATGAAATGAAGGGTTTAACGTCCTACTGATCTGCTCCGAACTAGGCTAATGAAGACGGGCATACACCATACAGTGTGCTATGAGGAAAATTACGAACTGTGGCATTAACAGTGAATTATGGAAATAATAAATTTTATTGTCAAAAGTTGTAGCAGAAGATTTTATATATAAAGTAATGAAAATTATAAAATGGAATATATCTTTAATGTTGTATTATTTTTGGATCAAATATTTGGATTACGGAATAGTTATAAATAGTTTTCTTACTTCAGCCATGATTTATACAACACATTGTACACGTGTTAGATACATGTAAAACAGAGTAAATCAATTTTACATTCAATTTATTTTCAATGATTACATTTATCCCCCAACAAAGTTATGTGACATGTGCTCCTCATATCGAAATTTAATAATACATGTAGAATATTTATAATCATATAATTAGGCCAAAAAGGAAAGGGTCGCCTGTCCAACCTCGTGGGTTTTCTCCGGGTCCTCCGGTTTCCTCCCACTGCTAAAGACCCCTACGCGTTGTACAAGACAAGGAGTAGGGTCGCCTGTCTAACCTTGTGGGTTTTCTCTGGGTCCTCCGGTTTCCTCCCGCTGCTAAAGACCCCTACGCGGAAGCGAATTATTGAAATAAAATTAAACCATATGTTAGTCCTGAAATGACCTTGTTTGTGTCGAGGGGACGTTAAACCCCATTTCTCTCTCTCTCTCCCCAAAAAAGGAAAATGATATTCTGGTTCTCAATTTAAGAAAATCCTTGATAACTGAGCGTACGTGTTGCGGTACATTTTTGGATTCTTTCAAATTTTACTTCATGTAACCATATGTGAAATGTTTGTGTGAAGTAATTAATGAAACGTTTTATTTTTTGAAACAAAAATCGGTCACAGTGTCCCTTTTTAAGAGAAACAGAATCATTAGAGGTCTATTATGTAGAAGCTAAATCTGTCCTTGCCGGTCTTTTCTCTGGCTTCATATATATAAATTATTATTTAGATATTTATTTACTAGACAAGCCGATACTGTAATCAACTCTGGCTCAGATATTGAAAGGAATAAATCATTTACACCTTTTAATAATTTAACGTTAAAATAGATAATTCAGATTTTGTTTATTGTCGTAGCAATGCTACATGTACTTGAGAATCAAGACTATTTAAGCTATATCATGTCAAAACTTTAAACTGTACATGTAACTTTGCTTAGAATAAAGTAATTTGACTGAAATTTTCAATATATTTTTGAATGACCAGCTCTTTATCTAAATCTTCAATAATTATTCTTTAAACTATTATAGCAAGACTGGCCAGCTCTTTATCTAAATCTTACATAATGTAGCTTTAAAGATTTTGTGTTGATAATTTGGTAAATTCAATAAATTATATGAAGAATTTAGAATATTATTTTTCAAAACCAGTCAGTATCTATTTGTCCTTCAAAATTTCTGTGAAAAACATTCTTACTTGAAACTATCACTGATTTTAAAAATTTCTGATCTTTGTAAAACCAGTATCATCCATTTTGTCTCATCAATAAAAAACACACTGTAAATGAATTTAAGAATCTTGGAATTGAATCCGGATATTACGAGCATCTTGAAAGGAGATTGTCACTCTCTGTGATAAAAAGTTTCCATAAAATCAATAATTTTCTAATTCTTATGCCTACTGATACAAGTATGGTTTGTTTTATGACAAATTGGCTTGTATTTATTACCATACTTGATGATTGAATACTTGTTTTGTACTTGTACATGAATATTTGTTATATATATATTGAGAAATTTGATTCCCCGGTTGTACAAGACAAGGAGTAGGGTCACCTGTCTAACCTTGTGGGTCTCCTCCGGGTCCTCCGGTTTCCTCCCACTGCTAAAGACCCCTATGTGTAGCGAATTATTGAAATAAAATTGAACCGTATGTTAGTCTTGAAATGACATAGCTTGTGTCAAGTGGACATTAAACCCCATTTCTATCTCTGTTTTTATGGGGATTCTCTGTTTTATTCCTACTGCTAAAGTGAATTATTGAAATAAAATTGAGCCATTTGTTAGTCCCAAAATGACCTAATTTGTGTTGAGTGGACTCTCTCTCTCTCGTAATGTATCTTGAAAGATTTTAAGTTGATGTTAAACCCCATTTCTCTCTCTATTTATATTGAGACATTAATGTCTGTAAACTAGTTAGGTATTTCATCTTAATAAATAAGATGTTATCACTTTTAACAAGAATTGTACTCCGTCTATATTTAGATCTAAGGACAGGCAGGATACTACATGTAATAATTGCCTACTTAAAGTAAAAACGAGTTGAAATTACTTTCAATATGACAGCTCATTTTATTACTGTCCATACCACAAGAATTAATAAATATAATTTGGTTTATTCTACAACTGTAAATAAGATAAACGACAGTTCTGTATTAAAGCCCGAGACCAATCATTTAATCGTTATTCAAAGGTGGGGGTGGGGGGTTGGATGACCAAATGGTTAGCACGCGCGCGCTGTATTATACGGTCTGTCATTGAGTCAACTGGCGGGGTTTCGAATCCCTGGTTGTACGTGACAAGGAGTAGGGTCGCCTGTCCAATCTCGTGGGTTTTCTCCGGTTTTTTCCTCCCACTGCTAAAGACCCCTACGTGCAAGCAAATTATTAAAATAAAAAAAATAAACCATATGTTAGTCCCAAAATGACCTAGTTTGTGTCGAGTAGACGTTAAACCCCATTTCTGTCTGTCTCTCTCTCTCTCTCTCTCTCTCTCTCTCATTCCAAGGTAAAATGTAGGAGTCAGGGTGTCTAAGTCAGTAAGGTGTTGGCCGAGAAAATTCATCAGGATTTTCCAGCATGGTTTCCCCTGGAAAGGAAAGAGGACCTGACAAGTACAACTGTCTAGTTGTTTGGATGGGACAAAAAAAACCCCAAGATCCTGTGTACACATTGGTGTGCACATAAAAGATCCATTGGCAATTGGAACTTGATATAAGAATAGGCTGTAGTTCCGATGTCCAGGCAAAATTTCCCTCATAGCACACTGTATGGCATATGCTCATCTTCATTAACCACGTCAGAGCAGAACAGAACGGTTGGACGTTAAATCCCAAGCTAAAATGTATTCAATGAAAAGAAAAACATAATAAAATATATGTATCCTAATATCTTGAAGCTCGTTTTCCATATAAACATTTTCGTTGGTTACATGGAATCGGTCCGGTTACATTTGGATTACAACCAATTTTAGGCCGGTGAAAAGGTCTACAATAACGTAGTGAAAAAGCATACATGGAAAACAGACCTTACTTAGTCAAAATATTTTGTCCAATGCTTGAAGTTAGCACTGGCTTGTTTTGACAATATTCTACAATCGTGTGAAGGGGATACCAAATGTCGACAAATTTTCACCCCATCTTTATGTATACTAACTGGAAATAAATCATTCAAGAAAACTTAAAATAACCGCAAAAAATTGATGAATCAAATTGAATATTCGAAAAGCATTGGGATAAAGACGAATCAAATTTAAGTATGATGTGACTATAAATAAAATTACATTTTATTTTTAGATTATGATATAATTCATTAAAGATAGATTATGGGAGAATGGATAAAGAACTGGCAGTTCTCACTATAATAGTTAAAAACTAGATAATGTAAAGGCAATTTGCTGAAAATTTCGGTCAAATTAATCCACTATGAACCGAGAATTAAGTGATTGAAATTTCGGCCTAGCCTCGATCATCATTACTAAAGTCTATACGATAAAAAACATAGTCTCTATCATCCATTTCAAGATTAAATTATGAATGGAAAGTCGAGGAGCAAATGGGATCATAATCCAGTAAATATCGCAGGCAAACAATGCCATCGAGAGTTGATTATGGTCTGGATAAGTTTATTAATGTCTAATTGATAATTTAAATAACATTTCAGTCGTAATGAAAGACCTGCAATAGGCAGATTTAGATCTTGCATAATGTATGTTTAATTAAATATATTTCAGTTATGGTGTTGTATTATGGGAATTATTAACAGGAGAAACTCCATATAAGGGTATAGATACGTTAGGGGTCGCCTATGGTGTTGCTGTCAATAAGTTAAAATTACCTGTACCATCAACGTGTCCAGCTCCTTTTTCTCAACTTATGTCAGGTAAGTCATCTTCTTTCTTGAATAATGGAGGTGGGGGTCATAAAGTCTGTCAATGACACAAATCGAGTGATGTGGTTTCAATTCCCCGGTTGTACGTGATAAGGAGAAGGGTTGCCTGTCCAACCCTCATGGGTTTCTCCGGGTCCTCCGGTTTCCTCCCACTGCTAAAGACCCCTACGTACAAAAGAAATATGGAGATAAAATTGAACCATATGTTAGTCCCGTTATATAGAAGGACAACTCGTGTTTGTCATGTTTGACGTCACTTCCTGTTTCTTCACGTGCTTGTTACTCAGCTATAGTAGCATGATCTCTGTGTTAAAATTATATTTGGGATGTATTTAACGAGCTCTATCACATATTTTATAATGACTGACACCAATATTGTCCTTTAATATCAAATTTGGAACTCTTAACACTTTGTAAGAAATTTTAAACTGTTTAATAGAAATACTATAAACAATGAACTGACCATTATGGTCAGACATCAGTGCAGTCATCTTGGAATTTTGACGTCATACCAGAAGTTGAAGGGCTAAATCTAGATTTGTTAAGGCCAGCTCAATTTTTGTCAAGGTCATTGAGATGTTTAAAGGTTAGGACACGTGATTGTTGGTGAGATTGGGGGGTTGGATGGCTGAATGGTTAGCGTGAGCGCGCTGTATCATAAAGTCTGTCATTGAGTCGACTGGCGTGGTTTCGAATCCCCGGTTGTACGTGACAAGGAGTAGGGTCGCCTGTCCAACCTCGTGGGTTTTCTCCGGGTCCTCCGGTTTCCCCCCACTGCTATAGACCCTACGCGCAAGCGAATTATTGAAATAAAATTAAAAACCATATGTTAGTCCCGAAATGACCTAGTTTGTGTCGAGTGGACGTTAAACCCCATTTCTCTCTCTCTCTCTCTGTTGGCGAGATTGTAAGTTAGGGTTAGGGTAAGCATTGGGACTAGCTCTAGGGCTAGGGTTGGGATTAGCGTTAGCCATGTTTACATCTTGTGACCTATGTAGAAAAAATTGAGCTGGCCTTATCATTTAGCCCTAACCAAGTTGAAGTCAGTCCACCAATGCACAATTGTCCAAAGAACAAGCCTGCAAGTTTAATGTCACTATGTCAGTCTTACTTGATTTGGTAGAGCCTTGGCTTTGTTAGAATATCATCGTACTTACTATGAACAAGAAGAAATGAAATGAAATGGAGTTTAAAGTCCTACTGTTCTGCGCCGAACTGGGCTAATGAAGATTGGCATATGCCATACAGTGTGCCATGAGGGAAATTTTGCCTGGACAGCGGCACTATATATCGAATTCCAACTGTCAAGGGATCTTTTACGTACACACCAATGTGTACATGGGACCCCTTTTTTCATCCCATCCGAACAACTAGACAGTTGTCCTTGTCAGGCCCTCCATCCTGCATCACTGACAAGGGGAAACCATGCCGGAAAATCGGATGAACTTTCTCTGCCAATGCATGGATTAAACACCCGACCTCCAGGCTAGCGAGGAAGAAGAAGAACCAACTCTAGATTCAGATATTCTTGACTATCAATGTATTTTATTGTTTTATCAGACTGCTGGTCCCAGGAACCACATGAAAGACCAACATTTAGCGAGATATTAGAGACACTGAAAGAAATTGCTAACTCATCATTCATGGCGTATCCACAAGAATCTTTCCACACACTACAAGAAGACTGGAAGCTGGAGATAGAGGCTATGTTTGAAGAACTACGAAGCTGTGAAAAGGTTAGTTATTATATTGTCAATAGAATTGGATGAGCTGTGAGGATGATTTAGGTCTGAGAGACACTAGTAGATATACATGTATTTGAACAATAAAATTTGTTCTGTAAGTTTAATCCTGGACAGGAGGCACCAGTCACAGAAATAATCGCACAAAGTTTTTATTAGAATACATTTTGTGATAGTTTGTGTCTGACCACCCTTGTATATGTATATATATATATATATATATATATATATATACGTGGTGTGGTAATTGATGCCTGACAGAGTCTGTTACAGGGGCCTTTATGTCCAGGCTTGTATAAGTTACAGATGTTTTGGCCTACGGAGGTCTCCTAAAATAAGTAAAGCATCTTTTTATGTTTTAGTTTTAAGCCCGCTTTCCATTCGCTTTTTTGAGTATTTCCATGTGTATTAAAAATTGCAGAAACTTTTAGTGAATTTCGCTGTAAATTACGTCAATAAGTGAGGACTTCTCTTAACAGCATGGAGGCCAACATTGGTTTGGTTTAATCGCCTTTTGAGAATTCCAATAACACACACCGTGTCTAAAAAAACTACCATTTTCAAGCTGAACATGCTGCAACGATAGCAGTTGAAGTTGAAGACCTCGTTCGACATGCGCATGAGAGAAAAAAAAGTGCAAAAGTTCGCTCATTTTGCACGCGGAAGGCTTATTGTACTTATAAGAGGTCCATTTGCATTTTGCATTAGATCGACTTTTTCCTGGTACATGGAAAGCGAAGCAAGATATGTATTTTCATCATATATTTCAGAAATAGAGATATATATTCTCACCTTGTATTTCAGGAGTTGAGATGTCGAGAAGAAGAAATAACAGAAAATCCATGAAGCATCGCTACGGAAACGTGAACAAGATTTAACTGAACGAGAATTAGAGGTTTTAGGAAGGGAATTAAGCTGACAGTTCTCGCTATAGTAGTTAAAATATAGATAATGAAAACAGAATATGCTATTCAATTTTAGGTGAGCCTTGATCATCATTATTGATGTTGGTATGATAATAAACAAAGTCTTGATTATTCATTTTTATGTTAAATCATCCATCAGAAACCGTATTCAAATCCACTAAATATCGCAGCCAACCAATGCCATCGAGAGTTGATTATGATCTTGTCATGTTAATTAATGTCTAATTAATAGTTTATATAACATTTCAGGCCTAAAGCAGATTTAGCTCTTGTATAATGTATGTTTTATAGTATTTACAATAACGATGGCATCGAGAGTTTCTTGTATAATATATGTTTAACATGCCATCTTGCGTAATGTATGTTTAAGTTTATATTTACCACAATATACTAGGGTCACTGGCACTACGACTAAGATGATATGATATAGAGACTAATAGGGCACAGAATATAGAAAATATCGGATTCTGAGCAGCTTCTATATCTATTTTATCATTACATGGATACAGCTCTCCATCCACATCCTGAAACAAGAAAATAATATTCATGTGAACCGAACACTCGATCCATAAACTCACTATCATGTAAATGAAATGAAATGGGGTTAAACGTCCTACTGTTCTGCTTCGATCTGGGCTAATGAAGACAGGCATACGCCATGCAGTGTGCTATGAGGGAACTTTTGACCGTACAGCAGCACTACAGCCTACACTTATATCCAATTCCAATTGTCAAGTGATCTTTTATGTGCATCCCGATGTGTACACGGGACCTCGGTTTTTCATACCATCCGAATGACTAGACAGCTGTCCTTGTCCGGCCTCCATCCTGCATCACTGACAAGGGGGAACCATGCCGGAAAATCTGGAGGAACTTTCTCGGCCAATGCAGGGATTGAATCGCTAACTTGTGTTTGAATCTGGTGTTGGAAAGAGAAGGTTCGTTGGGCTTGTCCAGTGTGGTTTCGCCTCCCTAGTCAGTGGTGTAGGACGAAGGGCCTGGCAAGGGAGAGAGAGAGAGAAATGGGGTTTAACGTCCACTCGACACAAACTAGGTCATTTCGGGACTAACATAGGGGTCTTTAGCAGTGGGAGGAAACCGGAGGACCCGGAGAAAACCCACGAGGTTGGACAGGCGACCCTACTCCTTGCCACGTAAAACCGGGGATTCGAAACCACGCCAGTCGACTCAATGACAGACTTTATGATACAGCGCGCGCACGCTAACCATTCAGTCATCCAATCCCCCGACCTGGCAAGGGAAAGTTATAGTTATGTGGATGGGATGAAAAACCGATGTCCCGTGTACACATTGGCT